CCTTCCTTCCTTCCTTCCTTCCTTCCTTCCTTCCTTCCTTCCTTCCTCTCTCCTCTCCCTCTCCCTCCCTCCTTGCCTCCTTCTTTTCTTCTTTCTTCCCCCTCCCTGCTCTCCCTCTCTACCTCCCTCCTTCCTTCCCTCCTTGCTTCCCTCTTTCCTTCCTTTCCTCCCCCTCCCTCCCTCCCTCCTTCCTCCCTCCCTCCCCGCTTTTCTTACTTCCTTTTGTTTTTTTCTTTCAGCCTGCCATTTTCAGAGTCACAAACTTTTGCTGAATACCTATTATGAGGCTTCCACTTTGCATTTATCTCATCTCCCCAAAAACGCTATGAAACTTCTTATTACACTTTTATAGATGATAAAACTGAAGCTCAAGAGAGGTTAAGAAAATATCTCAAGTTTACCTAGATAGTCAGTAGGTGAGCTGGAGACAAAATCTTTATATAATGATGTTATATCCAGTGCCCTTTCTAATAGTTCAATACATCTAAAATGTACCAAAGGAGATCTAATTATGATGGATTAAAAAGTATTAATGTGTCAATGGCCACAGTCTTCTCCCCTACCTCTATCACTAAAGAGAATTCTGATTTTGCCCACAGTTTTCCTTTCCCCTTCCCTCCCCTAAAGACAGGAGAGAGAAAATGCATAGCTCTACATAATACAGAAAAGTAGAGAGGAGGTAGGAGAGGAGAGATGAAGATATGTGTTATGTATATAGAGAGAATTTGGGGGGCACTGGAGAAAGAGGAGCTTTGAGGCAGCTGAGATGAGAGAGAGGAGGATGTTAGTCTCTGAGAAGTTCAAATAAGGGATTTGATTAATGATACATTTCTCTTGGCTGCTGGGCTATATTTCATTGAATAGGACACTTATTGAGACTGGATCACATGGACCTCATCAATTTATTAGGTTTCATAATCAACCTCTGATCCTGCAAGATGGAAGCCATCCATGTTTCTGGGTTCAGATATTAAATTTAAGTAGAACCCTCTATTTAAAGTGCTAGAGGACCAAAACCAGGTCAAGTGATTTGTCCAAGTTCACATAGGTGGTTTATATCACTTAACAAATGTCTAAAACCATGTCTTCACATTCCAAATTCAAAGCTGTTTCTTTTACACCACATTGGGTTTTCACATCATTGCCAGTGATATTATGAAGTGAAATTTCGGATCTGAGTGGGACATCACTAGAAACAAAGGAAAATGTGGAGGCTGGATAGTTTCTGGATGCTGATTCTATTCTTGTCTTCATGACCTGGTACACAGTCTCCCATCTCATCTTCGCTCTATTTCTATTGCCCAGACCAAAACATTTTTTTTAACTACTTATCCTGGGGGTGTGGTACCATGAATTCCCATCATCCCCCAGCCCCTGCAAACTGAATGCCTTGGGTCCATAGATAAATGGTGAATATAATTTAGTATCACTCTGGTGGAGTGAGTAGTGCAGACAAATAACCTTCACTTTTCCCCAGGTGGGCAAGATGGGGTGTACATAAGGATGTTCACTGTGTGTGTGCACAGCGGAAGAGAGAGTCGGAGTTCCAGCCTCTTCCCAGAGAGGTGGGCACCGGAGAGAGCACCTGGCTGAGGTATTACTGTATCTGTGTCCACTTGGGGAGGGGTAAGTGGCGACAAGTGAGAGGAATACCTCCCAAGGCTTGAATGAGGGCTTCTGGGGCAGGCTTACAGAAATCAGTAGCCAGGAGGGGAAAACGGTAACCACTTGAATCCTTTGTGTCTATAAACACCACTAGCCAACTTCTGGCTAGAACTGAGTAACTGTAGGATCAGAGAATTCTACTCTGCATTTTCCTTTTATGCTGTTTCAAATTTTAAAAGTTGTTTTCCAAAAGGGTTATTTCAGAAAGAAATTAAATAAACCTCTAGCTGACCTCAGCTGAACCAAGGTAGGGAAAAGTAGATTTTTACTGAATCTGAGTTTCAGGAAGCTATGGTTTTTCCTTCTAGAATGTGGTCTCTGTGGTGGTATTTCATGAAGAAATAGGAGGAAAAAAACAAGAAAGAAGAACTCAAAGCCAAAGAAAAGGCAGATCCCACACAATTTCCTGTGTTAATTGTTCCATGTGGATTCAACTGTTCTCAGTTTTGGGAGAAATATAGATTTTTTCAGGTCTCAAATAATCTGCCCCTGAACTCAAAGGGCAATGAGGCCCCCGAACAGCCTTTAGCTATCACCAAACAGGCTTCTTACCCTGGGCACCCTCTTTACTCCTTAAGCTTATGCCCCCTTTTGCCACAAACAATATTGGGACCCAAAGACAGAGCCAGCACTACTTACAAATTTAAAATCACTAGGCAAGTTACAGTGAATCAAACAAACTTCACTCCTACTTTACATTTTCAAATCCATTTGCCCTTACTAGAATCAATTTGAACCCGCCTCACAATAACTTAATAAAGGCAAATGGATTTTAAAAACTTGGGCATAGAGGAGCTCTGGGAAAATCTAGTTGTCAACACATATCACCCTGATAGGGCATTTATTTAAAGTATCCATTTATTAACAAGTTCACTTTTAAGTGTTGTTGCCACCCACATCCAGACAGCTGAGGGAGGCTGACACTGAGATCTGCGTCCCCTGATCAGATCTGTGCTTTGATCACAGGTAGCAAATGTCAGAGAGGAGCTGGCCAGGGAAAAGCCGCCACAGCCCCCGGAGAGGGCTCTGTCCCTGAGGAGGTATGCTCCTTAGCAGCTGTGTTCGGTAACTGGGTAACTCGGTGGCAGGGAAGGAGGTGGGGTGGTGGTGGTGGTGGGGGGGGGGGGGTGTTGCTTTCCTTTTGAAATGAGATTCCATGGACTTGAAACTATATTTCCCTCCCTTACCCTTTTTGTTTGTGTTGTTCTTGTGGGGATGCAACGTGCTGTTAATGTGAGCTTTCCCAGCCACAGGGACAGGATCTGTCTAGATGGGGCCACCAGAGGCAGCTGCTGCGTTTTGGCCCCACTGCAGCACAGGGGGTGACACGGAAGGCCTCCATTTCTGATCCATGTATCCAGTAAGACTTTTGGAAACCCATCCCGGTTTCGTGGGTTTGGGGGTGTGTGAATGAGTGAGTGCGTGTGGGGGTGTGGGGGTGAGGGGTGGTCACATGACAGTCTTTCCAATCTGGATCTCAATTAAGCCGACACCAGCCAAGAGAAGAAATCTATGAGTGAAGTGACCACTTGGCCCTGGCCTTGCAAAGCACTGCAGAGTCCGAAGCCCCAGCAGGGTGAGCCCAGTGCTCCCTGGGAAGAGGAGAGCCGAGGACACCGTTCGCCCCTGCTTGCCACTGGGGGCCGCAGTAACCTTCAGCATAGGGGAGTGGGAAGACTCGAACCCCGCGGGTGGCTCCGGCTGCTGGGCTCCCTCCAACGCGCGGCTTCGGCTCGCTTTCCCCTCCGCGCTGCAGCCGCAACCTGGGACCGAACGGACACCGCCTTTCCGGGGCCCCGGCGGCGCTCCGACTCCCACTTTCCTCCACCGCAGCCTCTGGCAGGGGACCCCCTTGGCGCGACGCCGCGCCCCTCCCCGGGACCGCCCCCTCGTCCCCCAGGGTGCGCGCAGTTGCTGCCCGTGCGCCCAGCCAGCTTGAGTGCCCAGGGCGGGCGGCGGTGGAGAAAACCCAGCCCGGCTTTCCCCAGCCGCGTCCCCGGCCCGCGCTGCTCCCAGCCTCCAAGCCCGTGACGTGGCGACGCCGGCTAAGACACAAAGACCGAGGCTGAGACCTCCAGGCGTTGAGGGTGAGGCCGCGTCCCGGGGCCGCTGGAGCGCAGGCGACATGCGAGCCTGTCCCGGCTGCGCGCCGCCCCAGAGGAGTCCGAGCGCCCGCCTCAGTCGCGGCGCGCCGGCCCTGACCCGGGCTGCAGCCAGGTGGGCGCCGCGCAAGTAAGCGCAGACCCGGACCCGGGCGGCGGAGGCAAAAGCCTCCACATCCCCGGGGTGCAACCCCGTCGCGGAATCTGGGCTGCCGGGTGACAGTGACCAGCTGACTCTGGAGCCTCCCGGAGGCGCGGCATCGGAAGCCGTGCCGACCACTGCCGAACAGCCGCTCCAGACCCACAGAGAGGCGTCGGCCCTGCGCCCGGGGCGCCTCGGAGGTAACTTCGGAGAGCCCGGGCCGGGCGGGGGGCGGGAGCGCAAGTGTGTGTGTGTGTGTGTGTGTGTGTGTGTGTGTGTGTGTTCGTTCGCTGTGTGCCCGCGGCTCGGTGCACACGCGCGCAGGTTGTAAAGTCAGGAGCTGCGGGCGCGCCTCCTTGCCTCGGCTTGGCCCGGCAGCATTGCGGGCCGCGGAGGCGTGGGGGCCCTTTTTGCTGCGCTCAGGGCAGCGGCAGAAAAGGTGTGTGCGAATGCCGGGCTGGGCCGCACCTGGTGGACAGAGCAGGGATTCGGGAAGAGAAGCCACAGAAGAAGATCATGCAGTTTGGGCAAGTTTTCCTGGTTGAGAATCGCTTCAGGAAACGGTGTTTTGAGGGTTAAATATGTTAGCTATCCGTACAAAAAGCCTGACACATCAGAGGCGCGAAGTAAGATGGAAAGCTGGACAAACCTCAGATGGACCGACCAGTGCATCCAGTTCTTAAATTGAGATTTCCAGTCACGTTGACGTGGAATGGGATCGTTGTTCTTCCCGAGGGGATAAGGATGCTCAACTTCACCGGTCAGAAAGCACTGGAGCCAGGCCTGGCCTGTGGGGAGTGTACGCTCGCTCACACGCCGTCCAACTCAGGCAAATGCAGCATGCCCGACCTGCTCTGCCGCCATCCCTACGAAAGCGATCATTTCCCTGGGCTACCGAATCCATCAGAGTAGTCATTTGTCTCCTTGCCGGCGGTGCGGGGAGCGTAACATTTGAGTAGCCTAACTCTCATAGCGCGCACTCCAGCATTGTTTTGCTGGGAGATTGTTACTGTGTTAAGCGGCTGTATATAATACAGCGGGTAAGGTAAGATTGTGTTCAGCTGCTCTTTTCAGTGGGAATTAAGTTACGTTTGGTGAAGACCTAAGGAATCCAGAGTTTCTGCTATAAACAATATACACCTATCTTAAAGACTGCTCACGCATTTCTGTTGTGGATGGAGCCATTGGGTTGGGAGGTGGTAGAGCCATGCAGCCACCCCTGCGGCTGTGGTTGGAGGCTTCATTTCTGGGCTCTGCAATTTTATGCTCTGTGATATTATGCATGGCATGAAGAGTTGCTAGGAGGAGTGTGGCAGCAGCTTATGTGGCCAGTTATGCACCCTTTATTCCAGCAAACAAGCTGCCACTGCTCTCTCTCTCTGATGGAGAGGGTCGGTTAATGGCCCTTCCTTGTCATTTCTCAGACACCAGCATCACTGGGCCTGTCCTGCAGGTGGAAGCTAGCCCACTGCTGTGGTCACAGGATGTCTTTTGAAGTGAGCCTCATTGAGAGACCGGCAGCAATATATTGGGTGTTGTTGAAATAAGAGAAGTGGATTAGAGAGAGTAGGATGCCTGGAGTTGTACAACACCCTTTAATGGGCTTTCCTTTTGTGTATCAGAGGAGGGTAGAGCAGGAGAGGGTGGTGAGTCTGCAGAGAGAGCAAACTTAGAGATTTTCTTAGGCTACTGGAGCCTGGAGGGAAAACCTTAAATGTCTGGTAAATAAAGTCTGATTTTTATTGTGTGTGTCTGAGAGACTTGTATAGATCAGGGAGTATGTGAAAATAAATGTCAGTTGCCAGAGAAAGAATAGATCAAACAGTTTATTTGCATTTCTGATGAGTTTGGTGAGGAAGTGTATAGCACTTAATATTTGGAAGGCAGACAAAAGGTTTTGTTGTTGGTGTTATGTTCCTTTTGAATTTTAGATACATGATGCCATTATTTTCTGGCCAATGCTCCAGGCAAAATTGATGGCCTTCCAGTTTCTAAAACCCATCATATTTATGAACTCTCTGATACTCTGTCTGAAACAGTCATGCTCCTCTGAGGTTGAAATCCCTCTCCTGCCTCTGTTCACAGCAGACGCACAGACCTGGTCTGGGAATTTTCTCACTCAGGATTCCCAAAATGAGCCCTTTCTCAAACCTTGACAAACGTGCAGCAGAAGCCATTGTTGCAGTTATGGCTGTGTGCCTGCTGGCCAGGGATTTAATAGCCAGGGGAAGGCAGGGGAAGGCAGGGGAAGGCCCTGCTCTCTGCTCCAGCCAGGTGGTAATGTACATTCTTAAACTAGCTAGGAAAAGGTTCTAGATTCCTCTGTGAATATGTCGTTTAATCCCACTGATTAGCTTTTCCCACTGACAGACATTCAAATCCTTATTTTTGGAGCTTCCTCTGCAGACTTGGTGTAAATTTCAAAAAAAGAAAAGAAGGCTGTGAAGCTTAAGACAGGCAGAGACAGTTGGCTTCCTACCTAGGCATGCTTCGAACTCACTGTATGACCTTGGTAAATTATTTAACTTTAATGCATGCTTGTTTTCATGTGTATAAAATGAGAGAGTATCAGACTAGATCATGGATTTTTTCCCCTTTTCTCCCTTCTCTCCGTAAGAGTAGAATCCTTTAAATTAAATATTTTGTAAAAGTTAAGTGGCCGGGCACAGTGGCCCACGCTTGTAATCCCAGCACTTTGGGAGGCCAAAGCAGGTGGCTCACCTGAGGTCGGGAGTTTGAGACCAGCCTGACCAACATGGAGAAACCCTGTCTTTACTAAAAATACAAAAAAGTTAGCCAGGTGTGGTGGCGCATGCCTCTAATCCCAGGTACTTGGGAGGCTGAGGTAGGAGAATCACTTGAACCTGGGAGGCATAGGTTGCAGTGAGCCGAGATCACTCCATTGCACTCCAGCCTGGGCAACAAGAACAAAGCTCCATCTCAAAACAAAACAGACAAAGTTAAATATGCAAAACAGATTTAAGAGCAAGGGAGGGACATAGCCAGTTCACTCTCAGTGTGGTGTCTGAAGCACCCTTTGGAACCCCTACGGGCTCTTCAGAATTCAGTTTGAGAATCACTGGAAGCTTCTCTCTGCAGTATGGCATATTCCCTCTCTGAGTGTTTCCAATGAAATGTTGTGGTCACTTAGCTCAGTGTTATAAATAAATTGTCACGTACCTGTAACTGATCCTCCTGGATGGCTAGTTAAACCCCTACAATGAGAGCTCTGGGAGGACCATAACTTTTTCAGCCCTGGACCTTCTGGGTCTAACACAGTACCTGGCATGTAAGTAAATGCTTAGTAAATGCTTAATGAATGGATTAAGAAGTGAAGAGGGAGTAAAGTTATTCTGGCAGACCAAAGACTGGTGGATGATACACTATGATGGAAATCTTAGGAGAGCAGGGACTTTGATTTGTTTGTTGCTATATCTCTAGTGCCTGACACAGGCAGATTTTGGCTTATTGTAGGAAGTCCTTCAAAATAATTAAAGTTAATACTGGGAGTGGATTGCTCCAAGAGGGGATAGAAACACATATATGGTGGCTATTAATTTTGTTCATAAATATTCTGGCTGTCTCTGCTTCTGGACACATGGTAAGATTGCATTTTCCTGTTAATTTGAAATTAGGTATGGCCATGCGACTTGTTTGGCCAGAAAGTACATGAACCTTTAAGAGTCAGTAGGTGCCTCACCATGTTCTCCGTTTTCCTCTGTTTCAGTGGTAGTTAAGTCTCCAGAAAGTGGCTGCTCCTCCCCCAGCCTGGGTCTGTGATTGAGGATGATGTGGAGCAGAGCTTCTTACCATTGATAATAAACAAACTGATTGGTGCTTTAAACCCCTGAAATCTGGGGATTATTTGTTGCTGCAGCGTAACCAAGCATATTGTGACTGATGCAGCATGTAAAGAACTTGAGATCATACTGGCTGCTGATCAGGATAGCAGTGTTATCCGGGAAGGCCAGTCCTTGCTGAGACAGGGCTTCATGCGGATCAGGACCTGTATATGAGCACCACATTGTGGCATGTGGCTGTCATTTTGCCTGGTCGGAGAGCTCATTTGGTAATATACTCAGGTTAGTCTTTTAGAGAAGGAACATGAAAATCAAAAGCCTGATGCACTAGCTATAATATGCTGATTTCATAGTTTAGGGAGAAGCAAGTGAATCTGATAAATGTGTTCAGTGATCGGAGAGAATTATCCATTAAAAGCCAGAAAATAAACAGAAGGTGCTTTGTGAGCCAAGAATGAGGGCCAGGAGAGTTAGTGGAATGAATTGAATGACTGTGTCATATGACTGTGACATGCCAACATATCCTTCATTGTCCAAGTTAGAGAACTACTTGCTCAATAGACTCCATGCATATGCATGCATGTCATTTAATACTATCCTTAAAGCATGATTTATCAAACACAACTGTACGATTTTTCTGATGCTCTGAGCATTGTTCCATGCCCTTAGCCAATGGGAGCTCACATAACAGAGTTTTCTACTGACGTGGCCTGTGAGAACTTCATACTGTGAAAGTTCTTAGCCAGTGAACCCTCCACTGTTCCCAACTTCAGTGTCTTTCTCAATATGTGTCCAATTCCCTGCACCCTTTTTCCTGCCATTTACTTTGTGTCCTAGTGAGCGATTTTGACCTTCAGTAGCTCATGTGATTACCCCATTGATCCCTCTTCGATAACACTGGGATCTTAAGGAGAAAAAGTTTTATTCAGGAAGCTAAACAGGCAAGTTTTAGGGTTACTAGAGGAGGCTTCAAGTAACTAAGAAAACAAACAAAGATCAACCAGTCACTAGGAACTGAAAGCTTTAGCGTATCCTGGTAGCCTAAAAGACTGAACAGTGGTGAGGAGGCAAATCTTGGGAAACAACAAAAGAAGGCCTATCTCAGGCATGGAAATTGAAGAAGATGGAAGTCTTTTGGCTACGTGGGTGCAAAATGGGGAGGAGTGAGTAGGTGTGGGTATAAGTGGGTAGTGATTGGGTGTGAGTAGTGGTTGAGTGTGGGTGGGATAGATACTGAGTGGATGTGGGTGGGCAATGATTGGGGGTGGGTTTGGGTGGATAGTGACTGGGTGTGAACTTGGGTGGGAAGTGAGTGTGGGTATAAGTGGTTGGTGAGTGGGTGTGGGTGGGTAGTGAGTAGGTGTGAGTGGGTATAGGTGTGGATAGGTAATGAGTGAGTG